TAATATTTATTTAAATTCTTTTCAAGAGATTTCTTTTATACATAATATTTATTTAAATTTCTTTCATGAGATAATAATTATATAATAAAATAATGTAAATTGTTCTAAAAGATCGTCTGGTGAAAGCAAAGACAATTTTATTTCAAAGTGAAAATCAGGTTTTTCAAGAGAAGAAAATTAGAATTGAAATTCTGTAGTTTTTTTTTTTTTTTTAATTTTTTTTTTTAAGATTGCTGTTATGCGTTTTGTTGTTCTTATATTAAATGCGAAATTTTATGAGTAACCTGTACGCCGGCCCAGACGATTTCTTTTTATTGTTAATATTTTAGAACTTTTCCCTCGGAATCTTTTTCACACTTTCGTGCCATTTCATCGCGTTGTATGGTAGCAATGCTAAAAATACAATCACGCTCTAGCGCGTGGTGTGTTTGTGAGTCGCTCAGTGGCCAGTCACGCGATCGCGCGGGAAGAACTGCGTCATAATATTTGGTGCCCGCTTAAATCGGCAATATATGTTAGGTGTATCTTCTGGTATTGGATTAGAGTAAACGTTAGAAAGTAGTTGTAGTGATATAGGGTTTCGAATTTATATCTTTTATTTATTTTTTAATATTCGCCTCACTGAAATGTGCCCCGAACAATCCAGCGATGGGTGATGAGACGAGGACAGGGCCTTAAGGGATGACTTTTAGGCCTAACTGGCTCACAACTGCGTATTGTATGGGAGAAAATTCAGGAAACTCATACCAAGAAACATAACTGTCGATGCGAGACTAAGGTCTCTTTGACATAATGGATTGGAACCTCAGCATTCTTGCAAGTTAGCTGTACACGTTAAAATAGAACCACGAATCGAGCACTCGATGTCGGTTGGGACAGCTCATTTGAACGTATCGCATCAGAAATCTGGCTGTCTGGTGTGAGTTTTCCGGTTTCTCTACCTTACACGACAAGCCGACTTTACCTTAATACGAGGTAGTTAAACGCGACATCTAGATTGTCATGCGGAACTTTTTGCGTTTTTCTCTAATATGACACGCAAATATGGGACAGTTATTCCTGAGAGTACTAAGGTAAAGTAATAGTCTCCTTCCGTTAAACTCCTGGGACTGTTTATGATGTTAATTGCGTATTTTTCAAAGGTTATGACTCGGAAGAGAGATTTTTTTTCAAAATTCAATTATCATTTTAAATGCTGCAAAACATCAGTAAATAAATTGAGAGGGGATGGACTTTTACTGAAAAAAGAAGCATCAGTAAATATTTTTTTTTTTTCAATATCAATATTCAATAAAAAGTGCATTTATTAAATGCAAATAACGTGGTTTTTTAAGTATGAAAAAAATTAATATTTTCTTGTTTTTAATTTCATAAATAGGGGCCTGAATGGCCGAGTGGCTAGGCTCGGTACCATAGGTATCGGGTTCGAATCCCGGCGGTGCCATGGATGTTTGTAGTGGTTCGGAATCCACTTTAAACCGTAGGTCCCGGTCCTAATAGGATCGTAGAGCGTTTCGGGGCCATTGTTACTCCGCGTCCGTGGCTTATCTTCCAGTTACACGCGCCCCTGGGTAATGCAAAGTGAGTACGTCTGTGCAGCGCTTGCCTTAAGGCATCCAAGACCAAGCTGTTTGCCAGCTGCATTAGAACAGAAAAAAAAAAAAAAAATTCATAAATAGTATGTGCAGACACTCCTAATAGTTACATCGCTGAATCACTGTTAAGATTCCTTCACATCAAATTACATCTGATCAAATGCTTTTAAAGCAGTAATGTGAATGTACTAAATATACAATAACGGGATAATGTTTGGAATGCGCTAAGTGTACAATGACGGGGAAATGTTGTGAATGCGCTAAGTGTACAATAAAAGGATAATGTTGTGAATACGAAAGTACACAATAAAGAGATTATGTTGTGAATACGAAAGTACACAATAAAAGGATAATGTGAATGCACTAAATGTGTTATAAATGAATGATAAAGTGAACGTACTGAGTACAAATTACTTGCAAAATATTTATGAACATTTTTTTCTGATAGGTAAATTGACATCATATATAGTACATGAAGAATGAAGGAATTAAGATGGAAGATGCAAGATGGTACTTAATGCCTTACAAAAAATAAGGCAGTTACTTATCAAAAACAAATACACGTGTGCAACGATTAAGATGAAGATGAAGATGATCACGTGATCCCTGAATGGAACAGAAAAATACATTACTTATCAACAAACACATCCTTCAAGGTCAAACGAAGTACAAATTTAAAATCCTGACACCCATCTCTTTATACAGTTCTTTTTTTTTTTTTTTTTTTTTTTTTTTTTTCGTGTGTGGTTGCCATTCATGCACATACAAACTCTTGTTCTAAGCCAAACGAGCAAAAACAAAACTAAACAAGCCATAATTTTATCCCAACGATTTTTATCACTTAAGAAATGGCACACTAAACGATTTCGGCGCCAAGTTTAATCACAAATAATGAGACAAACATACCCCAATCCATTAAGGCAACGCCAACGCATTCGGAAAGAAAAATGTATCAATTACAGATAGCAAATTAAATCCCCCTCCATCCCTAAAACCGAGCAGAACAGCTCTTCCTTTCCATTCCAGAACGTGAGATTGTTTCATCAGATCCAATGAAATCAAGAAGACTCTTTCTTTTTAACAAGCCCAGCAGTAATTATGAAAGATAGTAAATGGAAAATTACGTGTCTGCCAAAAAGCTCGAAAAGTTGGAACGGCGAGATTTTTACATGTGACACCTAACCTGGATTTATGATGCAATAATAGCCACTGCGCAAGCCTTTTCGCATTCCTCAACGCACCATCTCATAAATATGCATGAACCAACCATGGTCCATGGTAGGTGGAAAATCCAGTTAAAGTAGCAACAAAATTTAGCATACTATCAGCATACTTTCTTCTCGGAAGGGGGATCTAATAGAGGGGGGATACAGAGCTTTCACTACCAAAGCGTGTGCTTGGATATGAGGGTCACGATGTTGTGAAAGAAGACCTGTCAGTGCGAGAGATAAGTTCTTGTTTAGTCTGTTGCGGAGTTCTTCAGTAGGTCTCCGGAGGAAAGCGAGAGATAGGGAACGTGTAAATGAGTTGAGAGGGGCACTTTATTCCCGCCTGGAAATGGTTCCGATTACATTCGATGGGAGAAGTGATAAATAACCTCAACGAGAGGTTAAGTAGTGTGCGTCTGAGAAAGGCACTTCAGAACAGTCTCAAGATTCATTGGCACATGTTGTTTTTCTTAAATCTTCCGAGTTGATGCGTAATTCATTCTCTTCGTCAAGTGGTAATCAATGGAATAACAAAGAGTGCCAATGTACGAAGACCCTTCGAAGTTCGTTCGAATTACGAGGCAAAATTTAAAAATACGTCCAGACTTTAATCTGTTAAACACAGGATTAATATATCTACATAAAGTTTGCTTAATATTTTATGATTTGTCTCATTCAATATACGTAGATAACGAGGATGCTATAGTATAAATACGAGAATATATGTACGAGGACGAAATAGATAACGAGATAACCTGATGGCCAATCTGGCCTGTGATACCAAACGTTTAAGACTCGAATCTTGGTAGTGGCATGGATGTTTTTGAGTGATTCGGAATCCACTTTAAAACGTAGGTCCCGGTCTACTATGATCGTGGAGCATAGTGGGGAGTGTTACTCGCGTCTGTAGCATATCTTCAAGCTACACGTGCCCTCTGGGTAATGCTAAATGAGTAACAACAGTGCAGACCTTGCTTAGAGCATGACTATTAGCTGTCTCTGTATTTCCAGCTGCATTAGAACAACAACAAAGATAATTGCATACTCGTGGAAGGACTGCACTTCTAAACCGAACACCCGAAATTCGGCTACACGTAGGGTGGGTGAAATATACTTCCTCTCCGGGTGAGAATCTGTAAGCCAACTGACCATTTCTCTGAACGCCACAAGGGGGCCCTCCTCCCAGTGTGTAGGAGAAAACATGGTTACAATTGCCATTTAAATTAATGAATTATCGTATTTTGATAACATTGGTAAATACATGGTTTGTAACAAATATTTATTCTTAAATACTTTTACAGGTAGAATCCATAAAATAAAGAACATTTTTTTTTTTAATAAGTAGAAATATTAAAAAAATATTTTATACTGATGCATGTTACTGTTATTCCTTACACTCAAAATTATAAAGGAAATTTTCCTATTTCTAAATAACAGTTAAGATTTTGTTTCAATTTCATAACTGCTGAACAAAATTAAATATTTCTGCAATTTCGCTTTTGTTCTTAAACATATCCTTCTATTAAAAAATGACTAGAATTATTATTTAAAGAAAGTAAACATTTAAATTTGATTTCTTTTTTCAATGTAAAAAAAACAGCAGGAAATATTGGGTTATTTTTATACTGAAGTTCAATGCAAAAGGATTTATGAATGCAAATTGTAAATTACCTTCTGTTAACTTTCCGTCAAGGGCGATTGATAGCGTATGTAAGCAATTTAACAATAAATGCTCTAGATAGATTAGTTGAGCTCGGTAAAGTTTCATTTTTAAGGACAATATAGGAGAATTAATCAAAAACTGTTAGAATTCTAGTTAGAATAACATAACGTGAATCGAAAATTACTGCCATAGTGCAAATTTTTTTTTTTTCAAAAAACACGAGATAAGAAATTATCAAGATCTTAGCTAAAAATATTATTTTGAAATTATTGAAAATAATTACTTAATTTTAACATAAGCTAATCTAACAGTTTTGGTTTAAACAACCACGAAATTTTTTTGCTTTATTTTTGAAACGTTTTATTTAAATTTTTTAAATTCATTTCGCAATGCTTAACTGTAACTGGAGTTTTGACTTGTTCTAACCAATCCTTAAATTCTTTTTCAGTAAGCCATATCACTTTGAAACAATGAGCATACCATTTTTCGGCCTATAATATGGATTAAAATGTATTCACCAATTACAGCTAGTATTTAGATCACCGAAGTCAAGCATCATTGGGCGCGGTCAGTACTTGGGTGGGTGACTACCTGGGAACACCGCGTGCCGTTGGCCATCACAAATTTGGAACCTAAATGGCCGAGTGTCTAGCGCTCTGGCGCTCGGTGCCACAGGTTTCGTGTTCGAATCCCGGCGGTGCCATGGATGTTTGTAGTGGTTCGGAATCCACTTTTAAGCCGTAGGTCCCGGTCTCCTATGACTGTAAGAGCGTCACGGAGCCAAAGTCAGACTTCTACCTACGGGTGCTCCATCACAACAGAAGCTGCTTCCTTCCCCTTCAATCATGATACCTATGGGCTCGTGGGCTTGGCCAGCCTAGTGGGATAAGAAACAACAACACAGCTAGTATAAAATTTATCATCGCAATTTTAAGATAATACAAAATGAAAGAAAACTGCAGTAGGTAACATCAGAATCGACAGATTAATATTTTTGTTTAAAGCAAAAAATAAACTGGCAACATTGTCGAAATTGGAAAATATTTTGCCAAACTATTTTGTCCTAGTAAAACTTTAAGACAACATACTATTAATAACCTAAAATTTTTCAATTTATAACAATTATAATATCTATCTATTTCCTCAACGGACCTAACGGCCGAATGACTAGCTCTCTGGCGTTCAGTGACACAGGGTTCAAATCCCGGTGGTGCTATAGATGTTTGTAGTGGTTCGTAATCCACTTTAAACTATAGGTACTGATCTAATATGGCTGTTGAGCGTAGGGCTGACAACCCTACCCCGTAAAAAAATATCTCTCGTCTCGTAATCTGCCAGTAGTCAGACAGCCTTGGCCCATCATGGGGCTTTTTTGCCAATGATGATGATGATGATGATTTCCTCAACAAGACTCAAAACACAAATTTTTTTCAAAATAAAGACTAAGAAACCAAAGATTCAAGAAAAAGACCCACGTCTTGTTTGCTGAATAATTAATCTATTAGTATCTTTACTTTCACTAACTTCTGACTAAATCTCTCATTTTTTATACCAAAAATATGGGCCAAATTATGATATTATTAATTGCATTTGCCTTTACCAAATGAAATAATGCTCTGCAACAATTATTGCAAATTTTGGTATTAATACCGACATAAAATAATTAGTTGTTGTTATTGTTGCTTCGGATCCCCTATACGGTCTAGCTATTAAACCAAATCCATAAATCCATAAACTTCTAAAAAGTTCAAGAATAGAAGATGTTCCGTAAAACTCTCGTCCAATGTAAAAATCCAGACAGTTTAAAATATGAGCTGGTGATGGGATGCTTGGTGCAGGTCCTAAAGCTCTTCTGTCCTTGTTCATAGGCGAGACTCCTCAAGTGTCCACTGGCAAAACGTGATGAGCAAATCTGTTGGCTTCTGTGGCCCCCAAAAAGCAAGGAACCTCCAGGGAGATCTCTCAATTATCAGTCATGTGTTGGAGGCAGGGCCGGATTTTCCTATAGGCTAACTAGGCTTCAGCCCAGGGCCTCAAGATCAAGAAAAGCCTACATTCAAATTGTTAGCAAAATTAGAATTACACTATTCTAAAAACAGTAAGCACTAAAACACTGAATCAAAAATAAGGAGAAATTCTACACATGTGAATAATAAACAAAACATAATAAGTAATTTACAAACTTAAAAATGGGAGGTGAAAGGGACTCATAAGTGGAATAGCCTAGGGCCTCTTTTCATCTAAATCCGGCCCTGGTTGGAGGAACATACCAGAGATCCTTAATTGTCTCCCCCTAACTCGGAGAACACCTCACTATAAGTGCGAAGCCTATAAGACTGGGAAGTCTCTGAAGAAGCAACCTTTGCTAGACAATCCGCAATCTTGATGTCACTAAAGCCGACGTGTGAAGGAATCCATTGGATGTGCACCTTGTAATTAACTGAATGTCTATAAAGCAATTTCAGGATGGAAATGCCAGCCCTGTCTCCAACATTTGTCCATTTATTTGGATGCTGAACTGAGGATCGGCAGTCAGCAGGTATCCATATATTCACAAAATCAGGTTCAACAATATTCTCAGTATAGCTCAGTCCTCTCTTGCTTCAGATGGTCAATTGGCTAGTGCTCTGGCCGTTGTACCACAGGCTTCAGGCCCGAATCCTGGAAGGGTCATGGATGTTTGTGAGTGGTTCGGAATCCACGTTAAACGGTAGGTCCCGGTCTAATTAACCAAAGTGTGCAAAAGAATGACCGTAAATCGACAAACTAAACCAAGTTTCTCTGAATACAGATCAGAATTAGAAGTTCTGTTAGAGTTTCTTTTAAAATAATTAATAGAATATAAAATTGTAGAAATAATAAAATTAATAAAACAACAAAAAACATTTAAATTATTAATAAAATTTGAACTACAATTTTAAAATTTGAAATTTGAACTACAATTTTAAAATTTGAAATTTGAACTACAATTTTAAAATTTGAAATTTGAACTACAATTTTAAAATTTGAAATTTGAACTACAATTAATAAAATTTTAACAAATTTTAACCAAAATTTGAACTACATATTTTTTAATGTATATTATTGCTTAATGCGCCTTGGAAAAAGGGCATGTATTACTTAATTTCATGTTCTTTATTGATTGTTTTTAATCTAACTGATTTTATTTTATTTATTTAAAAATTTTAAATCCGTAACCTCCTTTTTTTAGAACAAAAAATGTTAAGAACGCATGATATAACTTGATTATAGATGGCTGATAGCGTTATGCAAAAACCGAAAAGCAATTAATTCTCAACGATTCAGTGAAGTAGCAATGCCAGAAATGATTCCAACACCCCAAGATAATAAATAAATAAAAATATTCTTTAATAATTTACTGTGGAAAATAGAAAAGATAACCTTCGTGATTAAAGTTTTCGCTCTTAAATGGTTTGTTTTAAAGTTAAATCAGCCGAAATAAAATTGTTGAAAGTTTTCACTACACGTTTTATTGTTATAACTGACTTTTTTTCAGATATTTCTTAATAGAAAAAAAATAACACCTTGAATATGAACGTAAATCAGCTGGAAAAATAAAGGTTATGATATTTGACCTAATTTGTAACTCCACGCGTATTTTTTGTTATGAAAACAAATATATTATTCAATATAACTTTTTTCGCCGAATAGCATTTAGATTATAAAAATAACACTGACCTTTTTCTTTGTCGTGCGTTTGCGCCACGAATAAAATCGCAAGAAATGTTTAGACGGTAAATATTTTATGTCTAAATTTAGGAATACATATCTGTACAAGCAAAATATGCGATAAGATGCCCTAAATTTCTGTTTCTTTTTTATCGCTCTGACTTGTTACACTAAAAGTTTGGAATCTGGAAGAAAATTCGCCATGGTTTTCAGAGTAAATTAGCTGTCACTTACTACTAATTATAACCGCATGGACATGAGCAGTTTTATAGCTTTCCTCGATATATTTTTTATTTTATATAACAGATGCACATTTACATAGGAAAAAAAGTAAAAGAAAAACACCACAGAAGTAAAAACACATCAATACACATAAGCATAAAAAAAAAAAAAAAAAAAGAGTGAAAAATTGTTTTTCAACAAATAAAACTCAACAAGTATCCAGTTTTAATGCTCTGAAGATACTTTCAAGGAATACTTACTAGTATCTCTCTCAAGTACGAGGCAGGTATTCCCTGAAGGTATCTTCAGAGCATTAAAATTGGGTACTTTGTTGAACATCAGATAACATGTAAGCTGATTTTATACAGTAAATAAATTGTATGAAACGACTGTCCAATTATTATATTTGATTAAGTTTTATTTATTTATTTACGACTTTCTAATTTTGTATTATCATCGGATTGTTGTCTATAGATAATACAAAATTAGAAAACCATTAAAAACTAATATCATTAAGCATGAATTATAAATTATAAGGTTACATACATAACACAATTTACTTAACATTTTCAAAATATAATTTTTAACATTACATTTAGAAACATGGTTTTAACATGACATCCATTTTTTTTTTTTTTTTTAGAATAGTAGCTTTCATAGTCTGTCTATTTCATTGGTGCAATAGCTTCGTGGTGGGCCAAGGTCGTCTTTGTGTTGGCAGATTTGGGAGACAGAAGATATTTTCTTTTTGCGGGTAGGGTTGTCAACCCAACGCTATACAATCATAATAGACCTGACCCTACGATTTAAGGTGGATTCCGAACCACTATAAACATCCATGGCACTGCTGGGATTCGAACCCTGTGGCACCCACCGCCAGAGCGTTGATAACTCAGCCATGAGGTCCCATAACTTTAAGGTGGATTCCGTACCACTACACACATCCATGATACCACCGGGAATCGAATCTATAGCCTGTGAAACCCATCGCCAAAGCGTTGGCCACTCGACCATGACCTGTTGCCATAGTCTGTTGAACGTTACAATTTATCTAATATTTAATATAGCTCATATTGATAATCTTATAATTTATCTAATATTTAATGTAGCTCATATTGATATATCTTACAATTTATCTAATATTTAATATAGCTCATATTGATATATCTTACAATTTATCTAACATTCAATATAGCTCATATTGATAATCTTACAATTTATCTAATATTTAATATAGCTCATTCTGATAATGTTACAATCTTCAGTCTATTTAATATTTTCTTATTCTACATAATAAATAATATTAAGTAGAATAAAAAAATTATTAGTGACGATACAGTGAATGTAGAAAATATTCGCACAATGACGATTTATAATGAAAATACGATTTTGTTATTTAATTGATTAATTGAGGTCGCACTTCAAGGAATCAATCATCATGTATTTTAAAAAAGTATTTCGAACTTGGAGTTTTAAAATAAGGATCAAAAATATTTATACATTTTTATTTAAAAATTAAAAAAAAAAAAAAAACTTCCTAAGACGAATGAAGTCGAAAGTCATTAAAAATATCTATAGGGTCAAAAGTGCAAATTTATGGTCGCGACCAACAATCGTTTTAAAAATGAATGTGCATAGATTATTTTACATGATTTACAGTGCATATTCAGTAATAAAAATTCAATTTCAATTGATGGATC